ACACACACACACACACACACACACACACACACACACACACACACACACACACACACACACACATATTCACAGCTATGAACAACCTTTGCATGTTTTTGGACTGCGGGGGGACAACATGTAAAATGTAATACAGTATTGAATTGTGAAGCAACTGAGAATTTTTGAATAATATGTTGTCAGCTTCGGGGCAAAATCCAAACCATTCGTACTTGTGATTTGTTGAGCTTCAAAGTCATGTCAGAAGATGAGAAAGTCCTCGTCAGGGTCACATGTGCTTGGAGCCTGTTCCAGGGGACATCCTGGACGGAAAGCCAGTATATCACAGACCATCAACTTAAACGCAGTCATATACTCTATGGCCAATTTAGAGACACTAGCAGCATCGGAAACCAGAGTACTTGGAGGATTGCTGCACTACACGAGATAACATACAAACTGCACAAAGAGAACAGAGGCGGGTTTCAAAGCCATAAGCCTGCGGATGTGAGGCACCACATTTACACTAGCATTCATGCACTCCTTATATATGGCGAATGAAGCTGACTATTTACACTGCTGTGAATTAAAACAAAACGAAGTACTGCTTCATTGTTTGTATATAAAAATGAAGATACGTATTCGTAACTACTAGTGCAGAGTAAAACAAAACACGTGTTTTACTAGCATTTGCAAAGCAAAATGCATCACGAATAAAAAGTTGATGGAACCTGTCACTTTAAACAAAACGGTCCGGTGATGCAAATCTGCTTATTTATAGTAATGTATAGCCTGCCATCTAGTGGCCATAACGTGTTCCTGTCATATTAGATCAGGGAGTTCTGCTTCTTCAGAGAGTAGGGGCTGCCCCTGTGATTAGTTCGGGGCTGTGCACGTGGTTGGATTATGGGGCCAGGACAGAGGGGCCACTACTGCCCCAAGGCCTCAGGCTTGAGGGGGCTTTGGAGCACTAGTGACCATGAGGTGCAACATTTATACTGCATGCTAAACACTACAACCCTCATAGACAACGTTGGTTGACCACCTGGGCCCTTGGCATAGAGAGCAAAAGTTGACCACTAGGATCCTTTGACATATACAGCACGAATTATCAGGGGCCCCGGGCCCCTCAGCATATACAACACAAGTTAACCAGGAGTGCCCCCCATGGCCTTCTGCATGCACAGCACAAGTTGAGCACCACCGGGCTCCTCGGTATGTACAGTGAGTTTTGACCACCAGGGCCCTAGGGCTCCTCGGCATGTACAGTGAGTATTGACCACCAGGGCCCTAGGGCTCCTCGCTATGTACAGTGAGTATTGACCATCAGGGCCCTAGGGCTCCTCGGTATGTACAGTGAGTATTGACCACCAGGGCCCTAGGGCTCCTCGGTATGTACAGTGAGTATTGACCACCAGGGCCCTAGGGCTCTTCGGTATGTACAGTGAGTATTGACCATCAGGGCCCTAGGTCTCCTCCACTTACAGCTCAAGTTAGCCACGAGTTAATCACCCGGGGCACTTGGTACGTATTGTATTAGCCCAAATATAAGACGACCCCCCATTTTTTGCAACTATTTCTATAAAAAATGTTTTTGGAATACCAAATCTTACCTTTATAAGAAAAATAATTTTATTTGACAAGAACGTATAAAAAGTTAACCAGCAACCACAGGCAATGAGATTACAATAAGTGTATTAAACAGCAAAAATTAAAAAAAACAAACGCATTATTTCAGGGGGATGGTGGTAGATAATGAATATTACAAACTCCACAACACTTGAGGGTGCAGAATGTCTTTGATGCAGCAAACCTACATGAAGAGGGTAAAAAAAGCATTTCAGAGAAAGGTAGAGCCATGTTTATAAATGATATGGCAGCTCTTTTAAAATGAATGTTGATGTCTTTTATGGACAGTCAGTATCAGTTTAATACCAGCAGTGGCACAGACAGGGAAGCCAACAATTTACACGACACTCAGGGATACATGCTAAACACACATTAGGTAAATAATAAATTAATTTGCCCCCCTCCTCAGTATGCTGGTTGGTATTTTACAGTAGGACATTATGCTTAAATTGAAGGACATTATGCTTTATGTATCACAGCTACTACTACAGTAATATGTGTGGTCATTCAAAAGCTAACATTATTTTCATATATTGGTATCCAAGACATTCATTTTTAGTAAAATTACCTCCCCCTCTCACTTGGACATAGGCCAATAATGCTAGCTGGCTAACTGGTCTGATAACGTTTGTTCGAGACCTGACAAGTCAAAACAGAGCACACTTGTGAAAACACAACTAACAATGATTTAAATCCCTTGGCTCCACTGTAATCATGAAATGTAACGTTAGGCCTTTCTTTACTGACACTGTTCGTGAGTTAAACTTTGCAGAATGTTTGCACGCATGTGCGATTTCCCGTTAGCTAGCTAGCTGGTTATGTGGATGTGGGCATCATTCCAGCTAAACAATTATTAGTTCTAAACAAAAGACTCAACATTTTCATGCTGGGTTGCCGTAGTTTCGCTGTTAATCCAAAACATGCCTTTAGTAAAATTACCTCCTTGTGTCACTTGGAAATAATGGCCCATAGTGCTAGATCTGTAACTTGACAGATAAAGTTAGCTAGAACTAGATCTGACAAGCCAGAACATAGCAGGCTATCCCAAACATAAAGCTGGGATAGTGAAACAGAATCCAAACCGTTTATGTGGTACGTGCATGGTACCTGTATGTACCCCCCCACCCCACCCCCTCCTATGACAGGGGGCCCTCTGAAGGAGGGTGCGCAGGGGCCTCACAGGACAATAATCCGGCCCCCTCAGTGCAGAAACGCCCAGTCTGCAGGATTAAAAAGGAACATTATTGTACTCTGTTTTATGAAAGGGAGATAAGGGATGCATGTAATCTAGCCAAGTATGTTTGATTGTGTTTTCTGGGGAGTATAAGGGTTTTTTGGGGGGATAGGGGGTCAGAAATGATTAGCTGGCACTGAGGGTGTGGAGTGAAACGGCAGCTGAATTTTGTTAGGAGGGGTGAAGAGATTGCCTTCTGTGGGGAGGGAGGATTGTAGGTTAGGGCTTTATTTTGTTTTATTTCCTCGGATGTATGCCAAGGACTCATCACGCTCAAAGTATTGGGTCCTGCCAGCTGATTCTCGGTTTGTGAATCGAAGTGATTGTTTGGTAGTGATTTACATTTGTGGCACCTACATAATGTCTTTACAACACATTTGTGGGACATTAAATGCACCATAATGCATTCATAGAAGATTTATAAGCAGAATGTAAGTATACCTTGACATCCTAACATACCTTTACAGTGTAATCGTAAAACGTTTGTTATTAATGCATATCAAAGCTGTTAAGGTATGTTAAGATGTTAAGCAATAGATATTTGCTGCTTATGAATGTTCTATGAATGTTTTATGAATGCATTATGAAGGCGCACTGAATGCTTTATGAATGCATGATGAATGCATTATGAAGGTGCAGTTAATGTAAAGCATTACCAGTTGTTTTACTGGTGCGAGTGAGCTTTATTATTAAAGGTCCCAGTGGGCTTTGGAAGGGTATGGATACCCTGGCGGATTCAAGGGGGCGGCACTTTATAGGGGCCTCAAAATTTACCGCAAAATCCTATTTTGGGTAACACTCCCTCCGCTCTGCAAAATCCTGAGCAGCGGACGCAGAATATTTTGTCACACTTTTGAAAGGCCTTAACATTTAAGGAGCCTTATACTTATTAAAGGTAGTGGGAACGGCTTATACTCGTTTGCTAGAATATTAAATATACAATGAATGTGTGTATCTGTGTCACCAGCCTAATGCCCTGCATTACAGTGTGGGCTGGAAAAAAAACAGTTCGGACCAGACTGTGCTGCAGAAACTGTCTCACATCATTTTAGATTTTTTTTTACATAAAAATAAAATAAATGTATTTCCTTGTATCATATCATTCTTTCCATTATAAAGTTTAACATAGCAGATAAGTAGCAAAATTAAGCATTGCATTAATTCCTGATACCTTCTACAAGTAGGTATTAAACTAAAAGGTAAACTAATATTTAAAATAAATAAAAAAGGCATACTTTAAATTCCACCGATCACCCAACCTCTTATCCAGTACATGGTTCTGGGCATACATTACTTATTTAGAGGAAATGGAAACTTAATTTTGTCTGACAGAGGGCCAAGCATAGAACTGAAAATCTGATTGGCAATTGCTTATGCAATATCACAGTCACCGGTGTAAACAGAAATTGCCCTGTTTCCTCGTCCGCTGTTGGTAGCCCCACCCCAGCCCTGAAACAGAATTCATCTTTTCGGTTGTGTCATTGAAAAACAAGTGAAAACTTGCAAAACTTACATTCCTAACCAAAGCTGGATAAAGAGCGTAGATAGTGTTATCAAGAGCAAACAGCAAATTCCTACGAGAAAATGACATTTAAAACACTTCATCTTAGGTTTCTGAAATGTGTTTTTTTTGCTAATCAAAGGTCTTAGGTAAATATCAGGTAAGTATATAAAGGACACATCTATGTCTGGGATTGCCAGCAAATATGGCAGCTCTGAAATGCCTCAGTCTCCCTCTTGTGATCTGTGCTCTTGGCATATATGTCCAACTGAACTCAGCCCAGCAGACGGAAATGCCCCTTGTAAGTTAAGCTGAGATAATTTACATTGTTCGTTAGTTGGAAATGTGAAGGATGTGTATGGAGACTCCCACGTGCGACTGAACTTGTGATTAAAATAATTTATTATGTGATAATGTTACTTTAATAATGTGCATTCCATGCATGGGTATTCAAACAAATTATATCGGTTACATGTGAAATTTGATAACTGATTTTGCAATCATTTTTACTTGTAAAAATGTGACAATGTAACTGTTGACGTTTATATTTATGTGGTAAATACAGGTGTAAATCTATATCAAAAGGGGGATATCAAAATGATCCAAGTGTAGGAAATGTTGTTTAAACAAACATTTGCCACTTACTCTTCCCTGTAAATGATTTCTATACAGTAATTCACACTCACCCAGTGTTGTGCTTGGCAGTGTTCAGTGTTAGATTTGGTCAACCAGACAGTCCCCTTGCTAATGTTGCTGATATGTTGTAGGCTCGGGAACCTGGCATTTCTACATGGACAAACTGTGGTTCTTCTGATATATTAAACATCACCAGTTTCTCCATCCCGAGCCAAATCACTATCCCAGGGTCAATCAATGTGTCTTTCCTGGGTGAACTTAAAGTCCCAGTGAGTGCTCCTCTCAAGGTAGGGGGACAATAGTGAATAGTGAATAGTGTCATCCCCATGGGGAAATCTGACGGATTTCACAAATCCCATTTTGCTCTCCATGAGCCACACAGACAGTAACATGATGATAATGGCACATACACACACACATAAACTTAGGTTTGCAAAAGTGTGTGGGTTTTTCAATTGTGAATCTTCTACAGAATATATGGTAAAAATGGGTGTCTAAACATGAATGCCTATTTATACACATTTAATCACTCTGACATTGTAATATATTTTTGAAACGTTATAATGCATTTTATTCCTCTCCAGATTGCCGTTCTGTTGAGGCGGAAAGTCTTTGGTTTGTGGGTGTGGCTCCCATGTTTAAATGGATACGGAAGCTGTACTTATAAAAATATCTGCGAGGATATAAATGAGATCGGCGAGGAAGGCGGATGTCCGCTGTTAATTTCACTGGCTGGAGGGTCCTGCGTCTGTCCTATTCAACCGGTATTTTCACTTCTTTTACTGCGTGTATATACAGCCGCGGGAAAAATTGAGAGACCACAGCACAATCTTTTTTTCACTCATTTTATGGGTGTCTCTGAATTTTTCTCATTAATGAAGGGCTTCTTCCCTGCTTTATGGGACTTCAGTCCTGCTTCTAGGAGCCTGATATGAACTGTCCTAGCAGTGCACTTCACACCTGCATGTAATGTTTCCCGTTCCTTTCGAAGGTCACCTGATGTCATCCTATGATTAATGAGAAACTGTCGGATAAGTTGACAGTCATCTCTTGCATTAGAAATTCGTTCTCCTTTACCTGGCTGGTTTCTGGTCCTTCCCAGTATCTCCTGCTTCACCTTGTTCTAATGTGCTGCTGTCTTAGAAATTTTGAACCTGGAAGCAACCTGCTGCTCAGCGTATCCTTCTGCCAGCAGAACCACGATTAAAACGGGGTTTTCAAATGCAGATTCGTTTAAAATCATGGAGTGGTCTCTTAATTCTTTCTATGGCTGTATGTTCTCCGGCAGCGGAGGTTGGGATTTGTGTCCCCCTGCTGGGCACAAACAGTCACTACATCAAATATTAAATAAGCGCTGTCCTTATTTAGGAGGTCCGTATTCAGGCAGCGTGCTATTGCTCAGCAGCAGGCTAGTTACAGTCTTCTGACTCCCCTTGTTGGCTACTTATTTTGTTTTTAAAACTTATCTGCTGGGTCGGTGCAGTGACCTTTTGAGTCGGGGCGCAGAAACAACAAGGCCGCCTGTTAAGATATCGTATGACTTCACATTTTGGTGTACTGGCTTACAGAGAAGCCAGGGGAGGGGGCTATAGAGAACATTAATTACATAAAAACACAGGACAGACATATTTTAATAATAGTATGAGACATGACAGTGGACTGATAGGAACCGTTCTTTCTGTAATGAGCATGAAACAGCCGTCTAACAGCCTGTCCCTTACTTCTCCAGGTGGTGCTTCACCTGCCGCCCACCGTCTTGAACATTAGCGACGTCGAGGTGCCGTCGTTCCTCGCTAACGGAGAATACGAAGTTCAGATTACCGTTTCCAGCGGCACCCAGGAAATCGCCTGCCTCCGCACCAGCTTTCATCTTAAACTGCAGTGATACGTCACCTTTTCCAGTTAATTAATATCTCTAAATAATTTCCGGGTTCAAATCTTCAGGGCGTGTTGTTTTTAACGATGGCCCGTTGAATGTGATCTGGTTATTAAACGCAACATTAAAGGTTGAAAAATAAAATAAGAGTTTCACAAAGATGGACTTTCATCACTTTTAAGGCGTACTATTGCACATATTATAGTATTAATCTAACTGGATATTATGGTGTTTGGAACCAGCACGATGTCAATTAGCGATACAGGGAGTCAGGGAATATATAGAGGCACAGAGACAAATTGAATGTCACTTACTCTTAAGTTTTGACTTGTTCAATTCATACTTAATATCTTTTTTCTACCAATAGTCGGCGCTGTTCGCTAATTTTATGTAGATTACAGTTTTTCTCAATTGCATAAGGACAATTTTGACAACAAGGCTCAATACTTCAAATCACTAACCACAATTCACAAAATCACACACCCAAGGAGCAAAACACCTCACCTATCCTGCAAAACGAAGCTCTGCATGCAAAACTATATAAACACTTATCAAAATCAAACTTTTGCCCCAAATACTAAACACTTCATTCACATCCCGAAATTTTGATCTAACCAATCTAAAAGACGTTTGCCTTTTGGGGGATTCTCGTAATCGTGTAAGCTGAAAAGGCCACAAAGAGAAATTATTGCAGACAAATTCACAGACACATGAGCAGAAACAAATGTGATTGAAACTTTTTACTTCACTCTTCAACGACAAACAAAAAAGGCAAAGCACATTCAATGCAAATCAAAACTTTAGAGAGAAAAAAGCGAAGGGAAAAAACCTGTAAATAATGTAGGCATGTGCATTGAGCAAAAGCAGCTGTGAGACAGTCAGTCATGTCTTCTAGCTGGGTGTGGCCACAGCACCTCATCTACATCACAAAAAATGTCTTCCCTTGCCAGACAGCGAGGGAAAAAGCTCAGGGAGTCTAATCCAGCTCTGGACAGCACCGACAACAGTGTCCTCACATGCCTCCTGCATTGCCTGAAGAAGGCTTTCACGGACATGTGGTTGACGGTCATAGACCTTCCACCACCATGCTGAGAAAGAACTCTTCTATTGGGTTAAGGAATGGAGAGTATGGGGGAAGGTAAAGGACCGTAAACAGTGGATTGGCCATAAACCAGTGTTGCACCCGGGCAGCATGATGGAAACGTACACTGTCCCACACTACAACATATCTGTGCTGCCCATCATCATCCACACGGTCTCCCAAGATCACTATATGTCACACAACCTGTCCAGAAACGAGATGATGAGGTCTGTGTTGTAAGGACCAAGATTGGCATGGTGGTGGAGAACTCCATTATTTGTGATGGCGGCACACATTGTAATGTTTCGCCCACGTTGGCCAGGAACAACCACGACAGCGCTGTGACCAATGATGTTTCTTGCCCTTCTCTTGGTTTTGGTGAAGTTGAAGCCAGCCTCATCCATGAAAATAAACTCATGGGAGATTGTACACAATTTTACAAAATAGGCTGGTTTTATCAAAATATTTCACACAATTCACAAAACCACACACCCAAACTGCAAAATACCTCATATATCTTTCAAAAATGAAGCACTGCAACCAAAACTACATATTATATAGAATTATCAAAATCAAACTTTTGCACCAAATGGCACACACGTCATTCATATTACCAGATTTTTGTCTAACCAACTACACACTGTTGGGCATAATGAAAAGCACTCTCATCTTTAGTATGCTTTGCCATAATACTAAAATAGTTCAAATTGTAGAAAATTCTTCAGATTGTTCACATGCATAGAAATATTTGCAGACACTCACACATTCATAAATTTTTTTATTTTCACCAAACAGGTCAGTGCAACATATGCACAGCAGATATATTTACATTGGAGTGAACAAAAATATGCTCACAAAAAAACAGTAAACTGAAAAAGAAAATGTACAGAAAAATATATAGAAAAAAAAAGAGGCAAGAAAAATAATTAGGCAGCATCTTGCCTCTCAGCTGGGTCTGGCCACAATGCCTCGTCCACATCACAGGCAATATCTTCCCTTGCCAGACATCGAGGGAAGAAGCGCCTTGAGTGCCTTATCCATCCCTGAATCGCACCCACATCAATTTCATCACATGCCTTTTCCATAGCCTGCACAAGAGGCATGCGCACATAGGGCTGCCGGTCGTATACCTTCCACCGCCATGCCGAAAAGAACTCTTCTATGGGGTTCAGAAATGGTGAGAATGATGGGAGGTATTGCACGAGAAACAGTGGGTGGTCAGCAAACCAATTTTGGACTGGGGCTGCATGATGGAAGCTCACGTTGTCCCATACTACAACATACTGGGTTCTTGCATGGTCTGCATCATTCATACGCTCTGGTGGAATGAGAATGTTATGGAGTCTGTCCAGAAATGTTAGAATATGGCCTGTGTTGTATGGTCCAAGGTTGGCATGACGGTGCAGGACACCATGCATATTGGAGATGGCAGCGCACATTGTGATGTTCCCACCACGTTGGCCAGGAACATCTATAATGGCTTTGTGGCCAATGACGTTTCTTCCCCTTCTTCTGGTCTTTGCTAGGTTGAAACCAGCCTCATCTATGAAGATGAACTCATGTGAGATTGCATGAGCATCCATTTCCAGTACTCCCTGAAAACAAAGAACAAAAATCAGTCAATATGGTGTTATCCAGTACACTGGGAAACAATGTTGCGTGTAATGTGCTGCAGTCAATATTGTACTTACATCCACATATGCTCGTCTGAGCTCTTTGTTTCTTTGAGAGTTTCTCTCAAAAGGCACCTTATACAATTGTTTCAGGCTGATTTGGTTTTGCTTGAGAATGCGAGCCAATGTGGACAGACTGACTCGTTGAGTGTTGTGGAATATGGTGTTGTCTTGGATGATATGGCTTTGAATTTCTCTTAATCTGATTTAATTATTCTCCAAGACCAAGTTTACAATGGCAGCTTCCTGTACCCCGGTGAACATTTGGCCCCTTCCTCCACCATGGTTACGTCTCTCAGTCCTTTACAAAAACAAAAAACAAAAATATAGGGCTTGGACAATGCAGCCTAAAGATTCCCCCACAGTAGAGTAAATTGTACAGGAAACTTGTACAGTTAGTGTATGACATCAACAATTCATGAAGTAAACAGATGTCACCCAACTGATACACTATGACATGGGGTGTACTACACAGTGTGAAAGAAATTTTGGTTACATACCTGCACTCCAGTCTAAATGTCCAGATGACAGAGGTGACAGTGAAATGGTTCAAGTTGGGCTGCACTCTATGTCCAGCCTCTCGCATTGTCAGCCCATGGTTGATGACATGATCAACTAAGGTTGCTCTGATTTCATTTGAAAGTTGTTGTCTTCTTTGGCCATGAACTCTTCTACCAGCTCTACGCCTACCTCTCACTCTTCCTCCCCCTCTCATCCTCACTCTCCCTCTTCCTCTCTCTGCAACGTCTTCCATTGTTGTTGTAAAAAAAAAGGTGCTCACCTGGGGTCTTTTATAGTGCTTACTTTCTGACTGAAGGGGTAACAATTAACCATTGAGGTGTTTGGCCGGGTGGCACATATATTGGCCAATTAGCTCATGTAGTGTCATTTTGAATGGCAGTGTTTTGAAATGGCAAACATGTGACTTTATGTCAGATTGTTGTGTCTTATGTAGAGAACTGTCTTCATTGCATTTAAAAGTGCCGTTTTGAATTGCAAAATGTGTGTAAAGCAGAAAATGTGTTTAGAGTTTTGGAGACTTGAGAAGAGGTTTTGCTCTCTGTGTGTCAGTTTAAATAATTGTGCTATGCATGTCATTTCAGTGTGTTAATTGGAAAAAACTGTAAATACACAGCAACAATCAGCATGACTTGAAACAGCTGGTAACACGGGGATTGCACACGAGGTAAGAGGGATCGGACGACCGGGGCATGACAGTATGATATGAAGTCAATACATGTTTTCTTATCCAAAAACGCATTACTAATGATACATAAAACAAATGGATAATGGATGCACAGAAAAGGAAGTAAACTTTGATCTCAAGAGAGCACGTCTTAGTGATACGCAAGTACAAAGAACTAGGATGCTGGGAGTATGCACGCTACGTTGCTGCGCGGCGGGAGTAGGGACCAGATGTCGTACTAAGCAGAACTGGCATGCAGAACAAACTTTGATGTTGCGGACAGGAAACGGGAAACCAAGGAACGCAATTTAGACTTGTAGTCCTCTTCGTTCATATGTCTGAAAGTTCATAAGTAGAGGAGCGTCTGTATTATGAAAATGCTGTATGTCATCAGTCTTGTACTTACCGTCACATACTCGTGGCTCAGGTCTTTGATTCTTTCTGCATTTCTCTGAAAGGGCACCCTGTAAGGCTGCTTCATGTTTACTTGGTGTTGTTGAAGTACACGGGTTAGGGTGCTCAGGCTGACTTGCCTGATGTGACTAAAAATCATATGATCATTTATGATGTGGCTTTGAATTTCTCTTAGCCTTATTTCATTATTTGCTAAAACCAAATTTATAATTGCTGCTTCTTGTTCCTCACTAAACATTTGATTTCTTAAACCACATTGAACTCATCTATCAATCCTTTGATAAAACAAGAGTAAGACAAGTGTGGATATTAGTCAGTATCCTTTTTCTTTCTAAAGGATATTTTGCAAGATTCTAGATGTCTATAATGCATGTGCCATGAAAGTAATATTTACAGTATATTTCATGTGACTTTTGAATTACATATGCAGTGTGTGCTATGTCGATTACATACCTATTCTCAAGGCGATATGTCCAAATAACAGAGGCAACAGTAAAACGACTCAAGTTGGGCTGTATCTTCTGTCCAGCCTCTCATTGTCAACCCATGATTTATGAGATGATCAACTAATGTTGCTCGGATCTCATTCGAAAGTGCTGATCTTCTTTGTCTCCGTTGTCCTCCTCCAGCTCTAACCCCTACCTCTCACTCTCACTCTTCCTCCACCTCATCCTCTTTCTGCTGCTTCCATTGTTGTTGAACAATTGTTGTAAATCTGGGGCTTGTATAGTCTCCAAATTCTGATTTGAGTTAAATAATTAGCAATTTGGTGTTTGGCCAAGTGGCACGTGTGAGTTGTGCCAGTTGTGGTTGTGGATAATAATGGCAAAAAGTGACTTTGTGCCAGATTCCTGAAGGTGTCGTGTTCAATTGCAAATTGTGTGCAAAGGTAGATTATGTGTTTAGAATGTTGCTAATATGAGGGTACAATTTGATCCTTGAGTGTCAGTTTTTAAAATTGGGCTTTACATTTGATTCACATTTGTCACTATCAGTGTTAAGCTGTTAGCTTGGCCAGGTTTCTGTGAAACACATTTAAATTTACATTTCAATTTGTGTTAATTTTAGTTGCATTAGGAATCTAGAAGTCATTTGGGGAAAAAAAAACACATGTCAGGGTGTGTGTGTGTGTGTGTGTTTGCTGTGGTGAAGAAAAGAAACAGAACTGAATGAATATACTTTATTTGTCCCCTGATTTCCAACACACACACACTTTGAACATCCCAGGTAAACATGAAGCCCCCATAACCGCGATCCTAAACAATAAGGCAGGAGTTATAGCAGGTTACTTACATCTACGTTTATATTTCACAGACGGAGTCCCCACAGTGATAGTAGAGTTATAGACACACAACAAGGACAGCGTGTATAAAAGTGCATCCCTGCTCCACATAGTACACAAGACATAAAAATATCCCAACAAGGTGTTACATATTTACATCCTTAAAAATTTAATATCCCAACAAATTAACAGACACAGTAGCCTATAATGACAAAGCGACAGATCAGGTCAAATTCTGATTTTAAGTTATAATTTTAGAATTTTTAGCTATGAAACTTTTACGTTACAATACTAAGAATTAGCATATTAATCATAAACATCCTAATTATGAAATTGTCCCTGTATCCATTAAACCCACAACCCCATACTGGATAAGCAGTTGGTAGATAGCTGAATGTTTTGATGTATAGATTTTTTTTTTTAAAAAAGGTAATACATTCACGTTACAGATATGTAATGTATGATACATTGTATTACACCGTGTCAAATAAATGGTGTCCTTCGTGTTTCGTTTATTAGTTTCTGTCCGTCTGTCTTCAGAAGCCTGCAATCTCCTTATGTTCATGATGATCCAGGAACTGTAAGTTGAGCATCAGGCAGGAGATATTCCAGGTGGGAGGCCAATATGGTGTAGGACACCATCTCTCACTTACATCATCTCTCATTTTCACCATCTCTCTCTTACACCATCTCTCACTTACATCATCTCTCATTTTCACCATCTCTCTCTTACACCATCTCTCACTTACACGCACTAAGAGCAGCTTAGAGTTGCTGTACTTAGCTGAAGCTTTTCATCCTAAATTTTCTTGTTTAACATACAGGTAGAATAATGAAATTAGGATTTCTTATGTAATTGCTCATTATAAGTGATGCATCAAAGGCTATGTAGCCATTCTAGAATGTGGGCAGCATCATTGTTCAAAGGCAGTCACTGCTGTCTGTAAGCAGCCACTGTAAGGGGCGGCCTTTGGCACCGTACTTACGGCATCAATTCACTGCAAAAAATATACACCAGCCTTAAGACATCATCTTTGGAAGGTGCCCCTTGCTGCGGAAAGTGTGTCCTTCAGAGATCCCAGTCTTTGTAATGGAGGTTCTCACAAGTGATTTTGTCCACTAGGATTTTTTTCATCCTATTGTTACATTTCTTGAAATATACCGACCGGCACCTTGTCAGTGTTGTTGCAAAAATCTGAAATCGTGTGTCTGGGGGGGAATGATTTGGTTAAACTTATTTTAGAATTCAAGACAATAGTTTTTTTCCACAGAGTAGTCTTTTATAATAAGTTTTCCTCAATATTGTTTTGTAACAGCTGAGAAGCAACGGTGAATCTTAAGTTGACCCAGTGACTGAATGAAATTATTAACATTCTGAGGGTTAATATTTGGCAAAATCAATGAAAAATACGAAATTTGTTTTTCGATTTTATAGGTTTTACCCAAATGAGGATGAATTAAGAAGGGCAATTTCCTGGATTCATCCACAAGTTTTTGAAAGCTATGATCTTCTATTAATGTCTTATTTATTTTTTTTTTGATGCTGAAGATTCCACCAATAACTTTGGTTCCTGAATAACTGGGCGTTATTTCTTGTAACATGTCCTGGACATTTTTGCGAGTTCCTTTAGGATGACATACACTTACAAAAGTGTGAAGCCTGCCAAAGACTATGCAGTGCAAAATCACATAATCTTCATGATAAACAGTGAATAAAATGTGTATGTCCCTTTGTCTCTCTGCCACCAGAATGGCAGCGTTACTCTGACTTGACCAGAGCACATTCCATCTCTCTTCTTCTCTTTGTTCTTCTTCTTTTAGTTTTTTAATATATTCTTCATTTTCAGCCGGCCCCTTTGTTAAGAGAATAATGTCAGGGCATAATTCTGCAAGGTCTTTATCACTTGGCAGGTCTTGCACTCTGCAAGACAAAATCTTAAGTTCTCGGGTTTGATCTTTCAAATCAAGGAACAGTGAAACAGGCCGATGATCAGATATATAGTTGTTGTGTTTGCAGTCATGGATCAGCTTCTTTTTCTTAGCATTAATGAAGATGTAGTCTAACCTGCTGTAATACATTACATGGTTGCGCTGATATTTATAAGTGTACTCTCTATCATCAGGGTGTTTCTCTCTCCAGGCATCTATAAGGTCATGTTCATCCATGAAGGGCAGCAGCTCCTTCCTTATTCTGATATGATCATCATTGTCACTTTGACTCGTTGTGTCTTCCTCTTCATCAAGTGCAGTGTTGAAGTCGCCCCCAACCACAAGAATATCAGTGTACAGGGGCTTTATTTTTTCAGACAGTTTCTTGAGAAGTCCTGTTTCTTCTTGGTGGTGATACACACTTACAAAAGTGCAAAACGTTCCTGATATCCAGCAACTCACAATCACATAATTGCCGCTTTCATCAACAATTTCATCTAAAGGTCTGAAGTCTCTTTTTTTATTCACCAGAATTGCAGCTCCTTTGGACTTGGAATTATAGCGTGTGAAGAATAATCTCCAATCGTTCTCATAATTTTCCAAAGTATCATTTTCTCCAATGTGAGTCTCTGTTAGTAAAACAACATCAACCTCATTTTCAGATCTTTCTGGTTCTTTAAAGAGTTTGTTGCCATTTTCTTTCAGTCCATTAATGTTGACATTAAGAATGTGAAGAGGTCTCTCTTGCTCTGTAGTTCTGCCGGCCATTTCTTCTGTCAATGCTGCTGCTGTTGGCACTTGGTGGAAATGAAGACTGTATTCACACTAAGATCAGATCTACAAATACATAAAATCATCATGCCTTGTGCTGTACTGCACATTTCACTTGTGTCATTTTTAAGTACATTTGCCATCTATCTTTTTTATTATTATGCAACAAGGTGTGTGTGTGTGGATTAGGTTTATGCCTTTGGGGCCCAATAGTCCTCCACTGTTTTGACATTGTGGGGACCATATTTCAGGTCCCCGCAAAGATCTATGATCTATTTTGTTTGGTTACTTATGATTAAGTTGGGTAGGGGTTAGGGCTGGATAGGGATTAAGGTTGTCATGAATGAAGAAATGAATGGAGAGTCCCCACAAAGATATAATTACAAACCTGTGTGTGTAAATGGGAATTAAATATTGCTATTTTAAAGGCTATATATTGCATATTACATTCACTGCAGAAAGGACTAGCTGATCTGTGTTTATTGGCAGTACTCTATACAGCCATACAGATTCACATCTGATTTCCATCCATTCATTTTCTGTTCTGTCCATTTTTCAAATCAGTTTCATCATAAATGTCCTGCCTTCACCATCTGCTCTCAGGCCAGACAGCACAACAATATCAAAATAAGTGGTGTAACAATTCATCAGTTTTAATTGCTGTATCAGTTATTAAAGCCAGTTTACGATTTCGAGTTTCTTGATTGCTTTGGAGCATTTCTCAAATGACCATTAACATTTGCAAACCAACAAGAGTAATCCCCACACCACAATGTCACTTCTGCACAGCAGGATGTCATTTCTCATTGATTCACACAAATTTCCAAATGTTTCAATAGATATATGCTAATGGTTTTGTAGAATTGTCATAATTAGGCACAAATTTGTTACTTTAGTTTTGTTGGTCAAAATAGATGATGTACTTTCCCATTGTAGTAATTTTACACCCAAACCTGTATGCATATGTGATCACTGTTTGTCACCACATGCAAAACAGTCAACCAAGCTTTCAGAATGATTTAAAAATATATTCCATAAACTGTAATGATACAGCATTGTTGTGTTCTTGATTCCCACAGTACATTATTATTCTCCTATTGCTGTTTTGCTGCTTTTGTGTTACAGTGCTGTGTGACTTTTTTATTGCTATTGCACTGTGTCTTGAGATCTGAAAAATACGTGAGTGCTTTCTTTTACAGTTTTTCTCGATTGCTTAAATGCACTTCGCAAAACACTAATCTCATTTCTATAACAGCCTCAAAGCTCCACAACCTTAACGACATTGGCCACTGTTTCATTTCTTAATGAGTTTGTACTAAGTGTCAAATGGTAAAGCACATTTTGCAAATCACATAGTACATGCATCATTGCATAGACACAATTCTCAATTGTCTCTAATAAACCATTCGGAACAGATGCTCCTTTTATCATTTAGGAACATACATTTCTCATTCATATTTGACAATGACTCACTGCATGCTAAACATGATGTACAGTGAGCAGTGCATACATTTGGCAGTGTGCTTGAAGATTTTTAAGAATAACGAGCTAATTGTACCGCTTCCCCATTCTGGAAGGAGTGGTCGATTATTGAGCATTGAGAAAGACATTTAGATTTTGGGAAATGCATCTTGGCAATTGAGAAACTGTAATAAATTAAATATGGAGTTTAGCAAAGTTGAAACGGGTGTCATTGACATGGCTAAGTATCAGTTTGCTAAAGAAGAATGATCAGTCGGTGACAATGAGAAAGTGGGCACCGACTATCATTCAGAATTATGGACCTCAGGAACATACTTGCACTGTCATACTGGCAATATATCTAAGCATTTTGACTCTCGTGGCTAAAACGATACTGATCCTTTTTAAGGTAGCCATCATCCTCAAAAGTTCTAGATCTCCTGTGAAGGGTCTTGTCTGCCAGGAGCAGAGGAATGTATTTAAATATATTAACTTGGTTGTAGGAGTTTTACTTACACAAAATTGTTCTGAGGGCAGAATGAAAAATGATTGGTTCAGGGAGAAAACCAATTAGACTGTAGAGGAGGTGGGTCTAAGCAACTAGAGGAGGCGGGACCAAGACATCTCATTGGTTAGTCTCACCTCCTCTAGTTGCTTGGACCCACCTGCTCTGCCATCATTTTTATGTGAATCTCTCATGAGCTATTTATTTCTGTGTGTGTGTGTGTGTGTGTGTCTGTGTGTGTGTGTGTGTGTGTGTGTGTGTGCGCGCGCGCATTAGCAGAGTTTGCCCTATGTTTGCGCTGCTCTAATATTGGGGGATGGACAGGGTGGTCAGCCTGTCTTCCTTATTACTGTTGGGCTGTATTGCTAGATTCCACTGTCATGTGCAGTGGTCTGATGTCCGGATTGAAGTGCACTTGTGTATCTGTAATTTATTGAGTGTGCAGTGTTCTGTCCAGCGCTGTGACTGTCCCTGAGACTGAGTGGGTGCCACATGGTGGGACTTTTAAATGTTTAAGGAAACAAAAGAAAATGATTCTTTGTATCCGGTAGTAGGTTGTGTTTACTAGTAATAAGCTATGGAGTAATTAGTAACATTGCGGCAGCCAAAATTCTGGGTTTATAATAATAATATGAAAACATGACAATATGCCAAAATGCTGGCGAAAAAAAACCAGTGGTAAAAATCTCCCACACAAAGCAATTTAGCGAATTACCTTAGCAGAGCATACAGACCGATACATTACAGTACATTTTACGTAGTTTAGTACGTCTGTGTTTTCAGAGAGTAAGTACAGCCTAGCAGTGTGTTACCAGTGTTCTCTTCTATGCCGTGGTCTGCTACATATTGCCACATATCAAATCGCTGCCTTGCAAAATCGAGATCGAATCATATCATGGCAAAGCTTACGATTTACATGCCTAATAGAAATGTATACGCCTCTTACCTGTTTGTTCAGGGTTGTGGTTTGTTCACCCTCCCAGATTTCAGTTGGTATGATGTGTGTCCAAGCGGGTTAGGACTCTGTGGTTAGGATTGGGCCCTTAACTGCTGCTTACTCTGTAGATGAAAAACATACATAAAATAAATAAAAGTATATGTCAACAGAAAATGTTTGTAAAAAAATAATGAAGTGCAAGAAAATAGAGACCGTAAATTACCTGTTTTTTGAGAAAATATTACCACTTTGCTCTACTGGATGTTAACTCAGACTATGAGCTTCAGACAAAAAGTGACTGAAACCGCTGGTCTTGGGTTTTTATCGGAGTGTCATGTTGTTGTTCACTCAGTCCCCACCTCCTGCTCCTCCTTTTCTCCTCCTACTTTTTCCTTTCGTCGGTAGTTTTGAAGAATACATATGTTGTCAGTAACCTTGTTTATTTTGATGTCCTAAGGACGACATTCAGACCAAAAAAGGAGGACGTATCGCTGTTTGCTGGGCGTGCCACTGACTTTCCCGACTTCCCATTTTGTAAGTAAAAGTGAAAATAATTTATAGGTGGAGTCTACATTTTGTCAAGAAACACGAATAAGATTCTGCAATAATATAAAGACACTTTGTATTGCAAGGTAAGATTATACAGTGACCCCTTCACATTCGAAATCTGCAGTAAAATCGCGGAAACTCGCAGATACGTCACTGCTGATAAACTTTTAACCTGGGAAGATAATGCATTGTTTGCACAATTGGTGTTATTGGAAGAGTACCAGTTTCATAGGGCATTAAATAAATAAAAAACGTTCAGTGAAATCAAACACACCATACAACTCGGATTCCGAATTTATTGAATTTTATTTAAAAGAACGGTTTAATTTCAGAGTCAGTGGCGGTGTGACCAAAAGCATTCGGACTGTTAGCATTTTTTATTACAATGAAATGCTGAAACGTTCATGAAGCCCCTGACTTAGCGTGCACGGTGCCCTGTACAGTATTCTGTCGAAATAACATGCCCTATTTAAGGTGGCACGGATCCTGCGAATAAGCGTTTACCTTCCTTACCTTACCCAAAGAATACCTGTTCTTAATGGAATACAGTTGTAGTGAATTACATAAAGTTGCTCACCTTGAAATTGTTAGGTAGGTTTCTAACATTATTATTGGACTATCGACGTTCACTCTGTTCAGCTGTAAATACCTCCACTTCCCTCAAACTGACTGTTTTACCGCGTCTGCATATAAATGATCGTGCGCGTGGTTATGATTCTCAGAATCCCCAGAATCATGGCTATTCATTCATTCCAGTGTTAATTTTGACAGCAAATCTTTATTTAGTTTTAGTCATAGTCTTTAGACTAAATTGTATTTTAGTTTCAGTCATAATTTAGTCAACTTAATTATTTTAGTTTTAGTCTAATTTTAGTTGACTAAATATCATAAGATTACAGTCGACTAAAACTACAGCTGATTTAGTCGACTAAAATTAAAAGTGTAAAGTGTAATGTTTAAAGTTTCCCTTTCGATTTCTGAAAGTTATTGTGTTCACCAAGATGAAATGAAACCAATGTTAAGGAATGGTGTTAAGGTCTGACTATGCAGTACACAAAGACACAGATTTCACTCTTATTTGAAACACAAACGTGTTTATTTACCCGGAAACTGTACTGTAAAATCAGTGATGCCATTAGTGCAAAAATAAAGAAGTGTATAGGCTATAGTGCCTCCAGGCCTGCTCTTTCTGAATATTAAAATAAAAATATTACAATAAATATTTGTAGACGTAGTTTTTTTTCGTGATTTCATGTTCATTGAAGTTTCCGCTTTTTAACAACTATATAAAGTAATGTTATTTGTTATATAAATCAACTCAGGTGAAAGAAAAAAATGTACGTTTTCAGGGTTGCCAAATCTCAAGCATGTGGCATGACACTCACGCAGGAAATCTTACGGCAAATCTATATTATTCCATTATAAAACCTAAAATTAGCTACGTCAAAAGTGTATTTACACGGTTACATACAAAAGCAGACTATTTACAAGGTAAGGACTGTTACGTATGTGTGCAGACAACTCCAGTCAGCTGACCGAAGTTGGCAACCCCGCGTTGTATTTGAAATGAAAAGTAAAATGCGCTGTTTTCGCCTGAAACGGCTCGTCATTCCGTTTGCGTTGTTACTCTGACAAATATAAAACGAATATGAGAAAAACACATGTCACGTTTTATATCTTTTCGAAATAAGACCGCCCATATCGTACTCTAATGGCGACTAAAGTGATAAGTTCGCATAAATTTATATTAAAACGAGACTTTAATTTTATTACTGGTGTGGGATTATCGAAACCAATAATTAAATCCATGAAAACTAAAATATGTAACACAAACACGACTGTATTAGGTTATAAGCACTTTATTTAAACATGCACAATTTTCACATTTTATTTATTTTGTCTTATTTTGAAATGCAGCCCTACTTTTATTTAGTAAATGAGAACATTATACATATCGGCAGTCATACAGAGAGGTTCAGTTTTATGTCACGTGACAAATATTGTCAAAACGTTTTTGAATTGTACCTAATTTAATTTGACAGTCAGGTATTGATTACATGCAATGTTGATACAACTAACAGGCTACTTAAATATATATCACACTAAATTGTTAGACATTATAATCTTCCCGACCTTTGCTTTAAGAAATTCTCTAACTGGACCTCTTTACATTTTAGTTGAATACCCCTGTATGCGAACTACATTAGTTATGATTATATCTCAATTATGACAATTATGAAAGCCCATTACCTCAAGCCGTCTTACATTTTTGACATACCCTGGTGATTATATAACTTTCCAAAATTTATCGAGGACAAAAACTATTTATCAATATAATAAATACAAATTTAATTAAATAAAAGCAAAATCCATGTTACTCATTCCAGCAAATTGTTCTTTTAAATGATCTATGATCCGAGGATGAATTGTATAACAACCCAAAATTCATGTGTTAGCTATAAATCTTGGTGAAATGATTTCAGTTCGTGTATCAGTACTTTTTGAACATTTTCTGTCCATTTTAACACCGCGATAATACTGATAACAGTGATAATTTTGGTCATTGTAATCATGATATTAAATGTTCATACCGTTTCATCTCTTCTTCCAGAATTGCCAGCTGTCACGCATCTTGCTTGAAACTCACGCTTTCAGATTCTCATGGTTACCCAAGAAATCTTACAGGAAATCTATATTATTACAATATTAACCTAAACTTAGCTACATCAAAAGTCTTAGGGTTGTTTGCAAACCCTACGGACTATTTACACGGTAATAAAACTGTTACATACAGTTAAATACGTGCTCTTGTATGTGCACACTAGTCTCAATTAAAAATTTCTCTCCAGCCAGTTGACAAAGTTGGCAGCTCTGATTACACCATGTAACACAGTTTTTGTGCCTGTGAAATAACTATTAGTTCCTGTTAGCTTATATATCCAAATGATAGAAAATAACTTTCATTTCAAAATATCTTTGATTTTGTGGTCAGGACATCAATAGTTCATAACACACATTAGATAACATTAACAGCCTTTGCAAGAGACTTCAAGGTTTTTACAAAATCTTCTGACTTGTGTCCATATAGTCCAATTAAACTTAAAAATTACATGTCCTTCTAGACCAGGGGTGTCAAACTCCAGTCCTGGAGGGCCATAGTTCTTTCCCTGTTCCACCACAAATGATTCAGCTCAAGATCTGTGTGGTAATTAGCACAAGGAGTTGAATCAGGTGTATTAAATGAGGGGAACCCCAAAGATGTGCAAGGCTATGGCCCTCCAGGACTGGAGTTTGACACCTGTGTTCTAGACTGACGATTGTAAACTAAGTTACTGTCACGAACAAGACCCCAGATGTAGTCCCTCATCATATTCTTGTTGTATTGTTCTTGGTATCGACGCTCGGATTCCTTGAGATCTTGCCGGAATCTTTCTCCTTGTTCCTCTGAGTACGCTCCCATGTTCTCCTTAAAATTTTGTAGATGAGCATCCAGGATGTGCACCTTTAGCGTCATCCTACACCCCATAGCCTGATAGTTCCTTACTAGTCTCTACCAGATCCACATAATTCTCGGCCTTATGATTTCCGAGGAATTCCCGTACTACTGCGATGTAGCTGCTCCAAGCTGCCTTTTGGACCTCTGTGAGAGTGCTGGGAAATTGCTGACACTCCACGATTTTCTTTATCTTTGGTCCAACAAAGATACCAGCTTTTACTTTAGCCTGACAGCTTGGGAAAGAATTCTTCTAGGTAGCCATGTCAACGACATCTAGGGATATATCTGACTGATGTTACAGCACTTACATTGCTGTATGTTTAGACTTTATATATACAACAGCTTGGCACCATAACTTAATGCCATTGAACGACAGAATTATTAGCAGTGACTCAAACAAGGTTTTGCTGCAGTGAAGCTAAACTTATGGCCATGACTGTATACAAAATGTTGGACAGAAGTGACAAAACCAATGTTTTGACTCAATGGATGATTATTACTAGTTGCTTTTGACCGAAGCAACACGAAAATAACATTGTCTTGCCAGGAACAAAACAAATTTTTTTTTTTTGTTGCCTTGTGTTATTCGATTCATATTTGGACTATCTGTATATTTCGTAAATATTACACATTACTAGAGCTGTAACAATATACGTATTCGTCATGTACTGTTAATGTTTTACATACATTTTGTATTTTCAAATAACAAATTACTTTATTTTAATACATTTATTTTTTTTACATTTGATGTATTTGTGCCCATCTCTGTGTAAAATCAATGTAAAGTGTTTAGTTCCAGATATTGTGTATGTATGTATCTATTTATCCTTTGTGCTCACAGAGGCCCCAGCAGGAGTCATCAGGTCTTGATTGGCAAAAAAAAATTGCTTCTGAAATGAGTCACTCTATGAAGCGTAAGAGGAGGGGAAATGAGCCCTTCTGTAGCTAAAAGAAGGAGAACTGGGAGGTAAGACAGAACCAGTGTGTGTTTGCACTTTTTTGCAAGTAGCCACAAAAAAACACCTTCCAGCATTTTTGGAAGAATTAGTAATTACTGAGTGTCATTTTTAACTTAATGAATTTCCTAGAGATTTCAGTGAGCCAGGGGTAGATGATTTATTTTAATATAAATAATTACACTGGTGCACAGTGATTTTGGTGCCAACGATGTCTGAACAGTTTTGTATTAAGTTCGGGGTGCTGATTAAGAATATGACTTCAGTTTTGCCAGATTGGCTCTAGTTTCTGAGATTAGTTTATTAAATAACGCAACACGTTTGAAAAGCATTCAGAATTGCAAGAATATTTTTATTTTAGTTACAACTAGTAAGTAAACAGTCTAACATCATATAAAAAAGAAATGTAAAATATCTAACAGTGACAGGAGAAAGTTATGTATGATTTCATAAAATAATACAATATTAATTAGTTATTAATTGTAATTAATGTCAATGCTTCAAAAAAAAAGTACTGTGGCTGGTTGAAAAAGACGACTAATGTCTACGAAGCGCGATGCGACCTTTGTAAAAAAGTCATCAAACTGGCCACAATGGGCTCTAAAGCCATCGACTCACATATCAGGGGAGAGAAGTACAAGCGTTTTGTCGATAGTCGGACAACAACTGTCCCCATTCAGTTGTTTGCCAGTCCTGTAAGTACAACCTCTACAGATAGGCCTACATCCGCTTTGGCAGTGTCTGCAGATCCCACGACAAGCAATGCCTGCAGTACATTCTCCTCAACCGACACACTGAAAGCAGAAGTGCTATGGGCTTTGTAAACGGTTAGCCGACATCACTCCTATACGTCCAATGATGACATTCACACTGTGGTGAGCAATTTGCTGGGACACAGTTAGTAATTGTAAGTTGTGGCCTACATACTCTTCACAACTCATTCAAGACTGGTTTTGAAGTGTGGATGGTGGAGAAAGTGCTCAAAGCACTACATTTTCCACTCTGTACCAGCCAGAAGAGAGGACTTCACAGCTGCAACATCATCCTCAAGATTCCCTCTACCTTTCTGTGGCCATCGGTGGCTCAAAAATTTGCCAGCTGTGGAACGAGCATTGGAAGTCTGGCCCTCTATTGTGAAATATGTGGACTTGGTGAAGTCAAAATAGGTGAAAAACCCAGGGACATCTTCGTTTGACTGCATTTGTGAAGCCCAAATGGATCCCCTTCTTCTGGGCAAACTAATAATAATAATAATAATAATAATAATACATTTTATTTATAAAGCGCTTTTCAAGACACTCAAAGACGTTTCACAACACAATAGAATAAAATAGCACACAATTTATAACATAAAATCAAACATTAAAAG